TCAGTTTTCAAAAATTTATTTTCCTTAAACAAAACAATAAGAAAAAAATTTAATTTTAAATAAATATATATTAGTGTGGACGATGCTTTTCCTACAGTACTCCAAACATTTCAATGACAGAGAGTGTGTGTGTGTGTGTGTGTAATGTATTATAAAACAGAATTCAAAGATTGAGATTCTAACATTAACATATTATGCAGTTACTGTATATGGATAGTTCACCCAAAAATCTATTTTTACTCACTATTTACTGTCCCTCAAGTGTTATTTTTTTTCTTCGGTTGAACATTAAAGAAGAGGTTTAGAAGAAAGCTGAAAACTTGTAACCATTTTCCTAACATATAGAAGGAAAAACAAATGGATGGATGGATGGATAGATGGATAGATAGATAGATAGATAGATAGATAGATAGATAGATAGATAGATAGATAGATAGATAGATAGATAGATAGATAGATAGACACAAAATTGAGACACAAAATTAAAATGTTAATTAATTAACATTTTTAATTAATTAATTAAGTCATTATTTCAGTGACAGGATCTGAGAATCTGCCGCGGGTTTGTGTCTTCAGCACCGGTCAGTCAGCCGTCCGTTTAACTCGGAATCACGCGTGGAGGCGGGCGTGTGTGTGTGTGTGTGTTTTGTTTGAGAGTGTTTGCGTGTGCGCGTGTGTTCACGCCTCTAGAAACTCCTTCAGCACCGCGGACAGAGACACACACACACACACACACACACTGGCGTGACGCGCAGGATTTCTCCTCCTCCTCCAGACTCAGATCAGTCACTTCAGTCACACATCTGAAAAGTTGCGGAGCGCCCCGGAGAGCTGTTCTGCTTCACACTCCGCTCACTCCAGCACGCGTCTGTCTGTTTTTCTTTACTGCAGAAACTCCGGTCTCGCTAGTTTAGTTTATTTTTATCGCCAGAATGTTGTTAGAACATCCAGGATCGAGTTGTCAAAATGCTGGAAATTACACCAGATACAGCTCCAGTCAAGGTAAGCCCGCGATTCCTTTCATTTAATGCATTTTATTATTAATATTGAATTGTCATAATTGAGTTTTGATACGGCGGAAAACACAAGAATTAATGCCAACACAGAATACAAAAAGCGGAGAACTAAAAAAGCAGATTCTGTCTGATTTAATAAATAAAACCTAAAGTATTAGTTGGTATAAATAAGCTACACTATATGTTTGACTCGACTAAACCGGAAAGCTGAATGTTTAAATGGCAGATTTGAGGTTAGATGTTTCAGCGCATTCACTCGCTTCAGTGTTTTATTAACACGCAGGAGGAGCTCCGTCAAATCCTTTGTGTATCTTTCATTTATATATGCGAGAATAAACGATAGTTATTTTATCTTTCATGTACACTAAGTTTAGTCAATAATTAAATAATCTACATTATAAAATAATAGTCGTAGCTCAACATTGGGTTAAATACACTGTAAAATGCAGGGTTCCACACAATTCATTAATGCTGTCCCAGCACAAACTGATTAAGTTAATTTAACACTTTTAACAAATTTATGTGCATGAAACATAACAAAAAATTAAGTTGTCCCAATAAAATCTCAACAGTTGTTTTGTGTCAGCTTATTTTAAATAAGTAGTTTGAACGAGCAAGATTGTTTTAATGTATATAGGCAACCCCAAACATTTGGTTTAAATGCAATACAAATTTAATTTACAAAAAATTAACCCAAACGTGTTTTTCTTTTCTATATATTTGACCCAACGTTGGCTTGCAAAAACCCAGCATTTTAAAACATATTTAGTGCAATCAAATGCCATCGAAGAGATGCGATGTAAGGTTTCAGCATCCTCCAAATAAAAGATTCTTACCGATATAATGTTGTAGAAGAGTCAGATCACTTTAAAATATATCTGATAATTTCATCCTTAATACTTTGTTTTAAATGAACCACATTCTAGTAAATGCAGGGTTATTTCAACCAAAATTAATTTAAATATGGACAAACACCGGGTTAAATGTTGCCGTATAAATTGAATAGCTAAAACAATAAACGCACTGGTTGATTTTCTCCATATTTCACCTCCCAAAAAATCATAAGCAGAAATAACCCAGCATTTTAGAGTGTGCTGAGCTCTTTAATTTAATTAAATTCAATTCATCTTTACTTCTTTAGCGCTTTTTAACATGTAGATTGCGTCAAAGCAACTTAACGCAGATGAAGCCGACGTGAAACAGCTCGTATAAAAAGTTGTCCACAAACTCACACACACACGTTATTTGCATTGTTTATTAATATTCATTCATTCATTTTATTTTCGGCTTAGTCCAAAGAAAAAGTTAAAAGATCAATCCGGGGTCGCCACAGTGGAATGAACCGCCAACTTATCCAGCACATTTTTTACGCAGCGAATGCCCTTCCAGCCGCAGCACATCCCTGGGAAATGTTTATTAATATAAAACGATTAATATGTCGTCACGACTTATTGACCGCATAATTAGTTTAGTGTAAAATATTCTCAAATAATACGGGTTACGGGTTTTATTTGATAACACATGTAAAAGTCGTGTTATATCATTGCAACAATTATTAATAATAATAATATATGCGGCATAAATCACTCAATTAACAAACCTCAAATTGTTCACGATCAACTAAAACTATATGATCAATAAGTCAATATTAATCGACTTATTTTTGTAAGTTATACGAGCTCTTTTGAGCCAGTTTAAATTATAATGACTCAAAAAGTGACTTTTAATGTAAAGAAATAGAGCGAATGAGTACTTATCAACGCTGAAATCCGAAACTCTGCGCATCTCCTGAACCTGATGAACCCCAGGATTAACTGTTGCTCTGAAATGCACGCAGTTGACACACATTCACAGCATGCTGATGATTTATAAACGCGTATATCTCTATATTTTAACAAAGTTATGGTCTCCTCCGGTCGCCTCTCCGTCTGTCGGCATGAATCAGTGATGAGCGGCAGATGTGAAGCGGTTGTCATGGAGACCCGCCGATCTCCATCCGCATGCACGCGCTTTAAACTCCGCCGCGGGATCGGGTTTCCTCAACAGGTGCAGCACCTGAAACACCGCGCACACACGGCTCTTCTGCACAGTTACACCGCGGCTGAGGGAATCAAGAAATGAAAGCGTCTTCTGGACACATTATCTTCATCTTAAAGACTAAATTAGCCCGGATGTTCGCCTTTTATTAAGTTGAATCAAACTAATAAGTCATTTCAATCATATTTTTATACATATTACAGTATATTTGAAGGTACATATCTATAATTACAATAGTTGACAGAAATAGGCTTATATTTGCATTATTTTTTAAGTTGAGTCATTCCAACCACATGAGCATGTATAAACATTCATATTACATATTTGAACAATATATTTAAATATATATGCATTTATTGATAATCAAAATAGTTGACAAAATATATATGAACAACGAAATATATGTGCTTGCCTTAATTTTAAGTTGAATAAAATTAATCTCATGAGTCATTACGACCATGTGTCAATATTTTAACATATATATTATATCTATTTTAATAAATTTACATATTTGTGATTACAATAGTCGATAAAATACATAAATGGCGAATTATATATGATTTCCTTATTTTTAAGTAGTATTAAATTAATCTTATGAGTCATTTCAACCATATTCGGGCGTATTTTATTATATCAATATATTTGAAAATATGCACCTATTTGTATTTACAATTATTAACAATATATGTAAACAATGATTATAAATGCTTTCCTTATTTGTAAGTCGAATTAAATGAATCTTATGAGTCATTATTACAACCATATGACAATATTTTAACAAATATTTATTATATATTTTGATTTATTTGAATAGGCAACCTATTAATATCACAATGTTTAACAAACGGTAAAATACATATGTTTGCCTTGTTTTAAAGTTGAATTAAATTAACCATTTCAACCATTTATTGGCATATTTTAACATATATATGTTAATATATCTGAATACATGTGTCCTATTGGAAATTACAATGATTAACAGCGAAATCTATATGTTTGCCTTATTTTAAGTCGAATTAAATTAACCTTCTGAGTCATTTCAGCAATATTCGGGCATATTTGAACATATATATCACAATATATTGGAATACGTATTTGTAATGTTTAACAAATATATATAAACAACAAAATATAAGTGCTTGCCTTATTTTAAAATTGAATTAAATTAATCTTATGAGTCATTATACGACCATGCCATTATTTTAACACATATATATTATATATTTCAATATATTTGAATACATGTAGCCTATACCTATTAGTAACTGCAATGTTTAACGGCGAAATATATATGTTTTCCTTATTTTAAGTCGAATTATGAGTCATTTCATCCATATTTGAGCATATTTAAACATATATTTCAATATATGTACCTAACTGTAATTTTAATATTGACAATATATATATAAACAATGAAATATAAGTGCTTGCCTTATTTTTAGATTGATTTAAATTGTCAATATTTTCACATAAATTATATGTTTCCATGTGAACTTGTGTTACGGATGCGATTAATCGGTTAAAAGTATCTATAAATAAGCGTCGAAACATGTGTTGCACTTATATTTTTCTATCTTTAAAGTCCAAACATGCACTTGTCTGTCGTGTATTTTGCATATGGCCATCTCTCAGATGTCTCTACAAGATCAAATTACATTAAAGCAGCTTGTATAACAAGTTGAAACATGAATAACTTTGTTTAAAGGTTATGATTAATATGTTGTCATGACTTATTGATCATATAATTTGTGCAGTGTAAAACATTCTCAAGTCATGATGAGGGTTTTTATTTGACAGCACATTTGAAAGTCGCGTTAATACAGAAAGCAGCATATATAAAACCTGAAATTGAACACGATCAGCCAAAATTGCATGCTTAAGAAGTCAATTTTATTTTTATTTAAGTTATGCACGCTGCTTTAAGTCAGTTTAACTTAAAATGGCTCATGAGGTTAGTTTGGATCAATGCCAGAAATGTAATGCATGCTTAATTTACGATATCAAGTTCTGATAGCGCATTTATTTGGTTCATGATTTCAAAAAGCACGAATATTCTTGTGCATATAGTATATTATATTTTATTACTTGTACTTTTATGATGCTACATGCATGCATAAACATAAACAGTGAAACTATCTCTGCAAAATTGTTCATATATGCACACACACATATATAATTCTGTAGTAATTTGGTTACTGATAACAAGTAGTGATCCGCACTCACTGTTTTGACGTTATATTTTACATCAAACAATAATGTTTATAACTTTTTTAATTTTGCATTAAAGCGTATGCACATAAACGGAAAATATATCGTGCAACAGTCTTCCAAAATAATGAATGCAAGAGCTCCAGTCAACAAAGCGCGCGGCCAAACACACTCGCGGGAGAGCGTTAGATCAAAGGCGAACAGCTCAACGTGATATAAAAATGATAAAGCAGAAAGTAAGGAGGCAGATCGCAGCACCTTTCGCCGACACGTGCTTCATAAAGTCGGGGAATCAGGCAAATGCTGTATTGATTTTGAGTTTATCATGTGCGGCCGCGGTGGCACTAAGGCTGATTTCCCAGGACACGGCAGATCAGTGTCAATAACATTCATCTGGATGTTGATCAGCTCCATCAGCACTTCACGACACACACTTTCCCTTAGAAAAAATAACCCAGCCCTGTGACCCAAATCAATGAGGAGAATACGGAGAAATCCGGATTTAAAAGTTCACCGCGTGTGCATGCGTGTGTGTGTGTGTGTGTGTGTGTGTGTTCATTTTGTCGCTTTAAAAACAGAGCAGGATTACAGGCTGATATATTTGTTGTGCCTCTGTCTGTTTAATTAATTAATTAATTAATTAATTAAACAGGTTGCACTTGCATTTATTATGTCGATTTAATAAATGTAAATGCATCTACTTTCGAGATGCTATTCGGTTGAGATTAGATTAAAATAAGT